CGAGAAGCCACTTGATGAAGCAGGAAAGAGAGCGGAATCGAAAGATTAATGGATTCCTTCGTCGTCCGTTCTTCGTCCCTACTCTATCGAGTTCCCTGTGTGCTCTCAATGCCGATGGCATCCATCATGCTGATTTCCTACCTACAGGCACAGTTGTAGCTGGAGCACTCAAAGGTACTCATTGCGTTGAACGTGAGTGAGGCATCTGAAACCGTACCATTCTTCATGATCACCGGGTTCGTTAAGCGCGGAGGTAACGAAGAAACGAGAGCTCTCTGGAAAATGAGTTAGAGGTGACTGGCCGGTAGGGAGAAAAAACTAAAAAACGATCTAAAACCTCAAAATGCAACCCCTCTCTACCGGTTGGCTTGCGTTTCAGGCGTGTTTCATGGGTGCTGATCTCACCAGTCGTAATGCTCTCTTTGCTAGAGCTGCTATGTCAGGAAATGGGCGGACAGCGCAGGTATTGCCCTGCTTGGCCGCTGGGATGTACCCTTTGCTGCACATCCCGCATCGTCTCGCGCCCTCGGGGGCCCGTTTCTTAGTACCTTTTCCCTTTCTCAAGCTCTGACCATATCTTGCGATCCTCCCTTGAAGGCAGTGATTACGATAGTTCAAGAAGGGTTTATAGGAGACTGGTGGTGCTCAATGGTACGCCAGTGGCGAAAAAAGCGGAGAAATCCGTCAAGAAAACGCAAAACGGGACCCCTTTTTGGCCGTTGGTTTTCACTCATGAACAGGTAACAGCTCAGAAAGCGGACGTATGAACGAGTTCATCGCAACGCGTTTGGTGGCAGCATGCCATGCTCCAATCGAGTTGCTTCAGTTGTGCCGCTGCTGGCAACGCAGCTCGTCCAAATCACCAAGTAAACTAGTGGGCGGATCGCTTTTGGGGCGGAGTGCTTTCGAAGTCCTGCTCAGCAACCAGCGCACCTTTCGTCGTGAAAGCGCCACACTTCGAAGCGCGTGCAACACTGCAGCAGCGGTTTCATTGCGGCTCAATGTCGTTGGCACTGGAGCAACTGGAGCTAGGTTCGTGAAACTCGTCCAACACGCCCTTCTCTATCCCAAGGTGGAATGCGGCTGAAATAGAGAGGTCCTATTCGGGGCGTAATCGGGGTTTCTCTTGCTTTCTTCCTCTTTTGCAGACACTTCCCACCTCTAGCTTCATTAACCGTGATCGCTCTTCGCAACTTTTTTTATCCCGAAGCTTGCCTTTAACTTCAGCTGCTATCCACCTACATGCGGTGGCTAGTACTCCTTCGGCTTGCTCTTGATGATATAAGCACCGTCGTCGAAGCTATCATGTTTCTCTGAATGAGCTGTTTTCAAGAGCTAGGTCATAAAGCTGTGTTGCCCTCTGGAACCCCTCTCTTCACACTAACGATGATCGGTGTTCTGGTAAGAATGGCCTTGTTGCCAAGGGTTTAGATGACCGCTTCAATCTTCATAGTGTGGAAGGCCTCCTTACACACTATGGAGATTGAAGCGGGAAACACGACGAATAGTAACACTTTGTACTGAGGAAGGTGTGAAGTGATTTTAGAGGTTGTTTCGTAAATCCACGGGTTGGTGCCAAAGAGGTGGTCCCTCGCGAAGTGAGAAAGTGGAGACCCCAAGCTCAAGTGCCGCAACTTTTCGAACAAAATTACACAACAAATTGACCCCGTTCCATGCCTTTAGGTCACGAAACTCTGGCTAACATATGTGAATATCGAATCAGCTTAAATTTCTGAACAATGTTGAAGCAGACGTGGCAATGATTGAAGGTTTCTAATAGTACAAGGACGATTCCGGGTTTCACTTTGGACTACATATACATACATATTTAGACTCTCGTCCGATAATGGCTCCCCGAAACATGAAAATCCAAATTCTCCATGCTTCTTCAGGAGTCTCGCCACTGGAATGTTTTGCGCTGCTTGGAATTATCTTCAAACCCTAGGCTGCACTCAGTTTTGACCATATTGTCACAAGTTCTCATCTCACCGATTTTTTT